ACTCAAGGGTCCCAGGTTTGATTCCGGTCAAGGGCATGTACCTTGCTGCGGGCACATCCCCAGTAGGGAGTGTGCAGAAGGCGGCTGATCGATGTTTCTCTCTCATCGATGTTTCTAACTCTCTATCCCTCTCCCTTCCTCTCTGTAAAAAATCAATAAAATATATTTAAAAAAATAAAATAAAATAAAATAAAATATATTTAAAAAAAAAAGTAAATAACAGGTGTTGGTGAGGAGATGGAGAAATTGGAACCCTCATAACACGCTGATGAGAAGTAAAATGGTTCAGTAGTTGTGAAAAACTGACAGCTCTGCTGGTGTGCTTCAATGTTTGAGCATCTATCTACCTATGAACCAGGAGATCATGGTTTGATTCTCCATCAGGGCACATACCTGGGTTGTGGGCTCGATCCCCAGTGTGGGGCCTGCAGGAGACAGCCGATTAGTGGTTTTCTCTCATCATTGATGTGTCTATCTCTCTCTCCCTTTCCCTACCTCTCTGAAGTCAATAAAAATACTTTTTTTTTTTTTTAAAAAAAAGCACATCATTAAATTCACATTTTTTTTCTGATTTTTGTACTCATTTGAAATTGTATATGTTACTATGTATATCTGTATACTCCATACAGTTGCATTGGTTTTCTGGTTTTTAATATTGTACATATCAAAGAAGTTTCCAAAGTCCTACTAATATCATCGGTAATGTGTATGCCTTGGAAACTAGTCCAGTTTTTGTTATGTTTATTTGATTTGGGGCCCATCCTACTCCCCATTAACATATAGAGAGTGATAATGGAATTATAGTTTATTACAAAGGCAAAAGGTAGATTTTAATAGAGTTTCTTATAGTAATATGTTCTGGGACACATAAGCAGGGGACGGTGGTTCTCTTGCCATAGTGATCAGGGTTCTGACCTCATTCCATTATAAATAGGCACTGGAAACTTGCTGTAAGTTTTTTTAAAGTGACCTATTCCTCTGATCTGTCAATAGATTCAGGAAAAAATAATAATACAACTCCATTCCTTTTTTTAAAAAGTTGATTTTAAGAGAGAGGGAGGGAGGGAGAGAGAAAAAGAAACATTGACTTGTTGTTCCACTTCTTTATGTATTTATTGGTTAATTCTTGAGTATGCCCTGAGATCAACAAACCTGTGCTACATTGGCGTATTGGGACAATGCTGTTAACCAACTGAGTTACCTGGCCAGAGTATATATAATCCATTCCTTAAGGAGGGGCAATCTCCTTGTAGATACTACTAACACACTGTCCAGTTTTCAATTTTACTTTGCCCTATATCGCAATATGATAACCAGGCCAGAAAACAAAGACATTGTGCTGTTAGCTACCCAAATGGTTCATAGCTGTAAGGATGGATGACTTTTTTTTTAATTTTAATTTTTTTAAATCCTCACTGGAGGATATTTTTCCATTGACTTTAGGAAGAGAGAGGGAAAGACAGAAATATCGATGTGAGAGAAACACATCTATTGGTTGCCTCCTGCACGAGCCCTGAACAGGGCCTAGGATGGGGAAGAGCCTACAACCGAGGTACGTGCCCTTGACTGTACTCGAACCCAGGACTCTTCAGTCTGCAGCCCGACACTCTATCCACTGAGCCAAACTGGCCAGGGCTGGATGACTTTTTATTGTGAGAATTAAATATTAAATATGTCCATAATGACCAGAGTATACTTTTAGTCATTTTGGATAGCTTCCATTGTTAATTAATGCACTTGATGGAGAATTATCTATATAGATTACTTTATGGACATTTGTCTACATCCTTGATCAGAGGAAAATAGGGATGTAACAGCTTTTATAAAGAGCTGAGCCATGGTTCTGTTAGCAGTTTTATGTAATTTAATTATATTTCTTATGCAATTGAGTTATTAGTTAACGAGGAGTGATGGTTAATACCGGACATAGATGTTTTTTCACATTTGATCTACAATATCCTTTGTATGGGTCCTTTCCCCCAGGTGTCTGTGAATAGAATTTTATGGGTTCCCTGAACTTGGATGGGTAATATAAACCTTTTCTTTTCACGAATCTCAACTCAAATTTAGCCTTTTCTTTAATCATGAATATAGGCAAGAAACCGCACTAGTAGTGTTAGCAACAGCTATGATTGGGACATAAATATTCAACATATTGTTGCATTCATCACTAGACTCGCCACTGGATCTTGTTATTTAATGTGTTAAGTATCTATTACTACATAAGACTTCGTTTTAAAAAATATTTCAATAATATTTTAATAAAATTGGTTTCCTTTGAAATCCCTCAGAGTTTATATATTTAAAAACATTATTCTGAGAAAGGGTCCTTAGGCTTCACATAGAACTTCACTGGAAAGTTCTGTGGCACCAGTAAAAGTTAGGAAGCCCTGGAAGCCATGGTTTTCTTTTATTTTTTTTCCATCTCCATTTATCCTCTTCCCGCTTCCACCCCCACCCCACCCACCAATCACCACACTGTTGCTCATGTTTGTGAGTTCTCTCCTTTTTATTTTTTGCTCAATTCCTCCAACACTTCCCCCTTATAACACTGCTCCCCCCACCCCCAAGCTGTCTCCCTGCTCTTAATGAGTCTGTCTCTATTTTGCTTGGTGTTCAATTTGTTCATTAAATTCCATATATGAGTAAAATCATATAGTACTAGTTTTTCCTCTTACTGGCTTACTTCACTTAGCATAATGTTCTCCAGGTCCATCCATGCTGTCACAAAGAGTAAATTTTTCTTCCTTTTTAAATTCTCTTTCTCCCAGTTGATTTCAGTGTGCTGCTAGGATTGAGAATCACTAGTGTAATGGTATCTTACAAATTAAGATCCTATTTTAAAGTTTGTTTTTTTCAAGAAGTAAACTCTTGAAATAGGTCTATTTTGTTGTATCCCAAGTGCCCCTTCAACTGCTTTCCTCTTTATCCTCTGTTGAATATACATATACACACACACACACACACTAGTAGCCCTGTGCACGAATCTGTGCGCCCATAGCTCACTGCCGCCCGCTGCCCCACCCTGCTGTAGCTCCCTCCGTCCCCCTATCCCCCTTATAGCTTGCTGCCCTGCCCCCTCCTGTAGCTCTCTGCCGCCTGCTTGTAGCTTGCTGCCCCACCCTCCTGTCTGATCCGTGATCTGATCATTACGTGGTCGGTCGTTACACTTCATGGCATAACAACCATTTGCATAGTACATCTTTATTATATAGGATACTTAAGTATATTTTTATTAATTTCAGAGAGGGAAAGGGAGAGAGAAACATCAATGATGAGAGAGAATCAATCATCCACTGGCTGCCTCCTGCCCCCTACTGGGGATCAAGCCTGCAACATAGGCATGTGCCCTGACTGGGAATCAAACCATGACCTCGTGGTTCATAGGTCAGTGCTCAACCACTGAGCCACACTGGCTGGGCTTGAATATTTTTAATGTGTAGGATCACTATAGATTTCCAGAAGTTCTGAAAAAACGCAGAATGAAACTTCATATAAATTAACATTTATCTGACTTATTGAGAATTGCTTTCTTTTTGTGGTACACAGTAGTATTCTTAACAATTTGGGAACTAATACTTGTTTTCATGCATCGGGTGCTAGCTGCTACTAAGATTATATTTCTACTATCGGGTCTCTAGTAGAAATATAGTCTTGCACCGGTGGGGTCCCTCGGCCTGGCCTGCACCCTCTTGCAATCGGGGACCTCTCGGGGGATGTCGGACTGCCGGTTTTGGCCCGATCCCCACAGGCCAGGCTGAGGGACCATGCATCCGGGCCTCTAGTATGCATATATAATCTTTGGTTAATCTCTTCCCGCCTTCCCCACACCCCCCTTCCCTTTGAGATTCATCAGTCTGTCTCACGTTTCCATGCCTGTGCATTGAGCGTCTGCCCCCTGGTGGTCAGTGCACATCATAGCTAACGGTCAAATGGTTGCTTAGGCATATATATATATATATATATAACTACCTTATTTAAAGGTTTAGAAAATACTGAAAGATAGAAAGGAGGGAGGGAAATCACCTATACTTTTATCATCCATCACCCACATGACCCTAAACATTTTAGTACAATCTTTAAATCTCTTATTGTAGATTTATTTTATAGCTTTTATTATGCTGTATATAAAGTTTTTGAGTCACATTTTTAAACTTTTCTATCAAAATAAGCGTTCATATCATTTCATGCTTTATGGCTCAGGATGAATGCCCTATAGCAGTGCTTCTCAAAGTTTGTCTAGGGACCTTGTGGGTTCCTAAAACTTTCAGAGAATCTGTGAATTCAAACTGTTTAATAATAAATTTAAAGCATTATTTGCCCTTTTCACTCTTAACCTCTTGTGAGTGTATAGTAGAATTTTTACATGATGTGATATTATAACAGATTGAATGCAGAAGCAGGTATGGAAACCCAGCTACATTTTTAAAAGTCGGACATTAAATTTATAAATATGTAAAACAAGGATGTTCTCAATTAATATGTAAATAGTTTTTTAAAAATATTTTTTTTTTATTGACTTCAGAGAGGAAGGGAGAGGGAAAGAGAAACATCAGTGATGAGAGAGAATCATTGATCAGCTGCCTTTTGCACTCTCCACACTTGGGATTGAGCCAGAAACCCAGGCACGTGTCCTGACCAGGAATCTCCTGGTTCAGAAGTTGACACTCAACTACTGAGCCACGCAGGCATGGCAATAGTTTTATTATTTGAACATGAATAAATATGTAATATTTTTTCTTAGTTTTAATTGTAATGGTAAATATTGAAATAAACCACATAAACAACCTTTTTTAAGGTATGTGATTACTTGATTTTGTTTTTATGCAGTTGACTTAAGGTAACATATAGATTACAGAAAATACAGGCCTCTTTTATAAAAAAGAGAACATTTTTATTCTTTGTATTCTGATACTGTATACTGATATCTTGTGCTTGAATAAAATTAGGCATGAAATTTTTAAAATGGTAACTTCAGTTTGTTACTTTTCTCCCCTCAGGCAGCTGAATATGTCCCAGAGAAGGTGAAGAAAGCTGAAAAGAAATTAGAAGAGAATCCATATGACCTTGACGCTTGGAGCATTCTCATTCGAGAGGCACAGGTTTAGTGATATAGGATTACATTTCCTTCTCTATGGGTCCAGTCACACTACTTGGTTCTGCAGTAAATATTTTCATAATCCTAACACTGTAAATGCTGTTTATTGGTTTTCAATTTTAGAATCAACCTATAGACAAAGCACGGAAGACTTATGAACGCCTTGTTGCCCAGTTCCCCAGTTCTGGCAGATTCTGGAAACTGTACATTGAAGCAGAGGTTAATATTTTATTTTATTTTTCTTATATAGCATCTGATGGGAATTGCAGCATACACTATAGTGGTAAAGACAAGTTAGGGACATAGATAGCACAACTCGGACAAGGAGGGTTTAAATGTCTCTTGCCTTTATTTTGTAAAATAGATACAAAGGAGTGATTAAAATGAATTTTTGAAATTTGGGTCTTTACAAGCTGATGATTGTTGCATTTTGCAATTGCAACAACATTAAAACAGTTTCAATGGTATTGGAGTGCTTTAGCCTTTTATTTACTTGTCATGTGTCAATTTATTGCCTCCTGTGTCATTTATTTAGAACTCATTTTTCTTTTGATTCCTGCTTACAAAAATATGAACTACTGGTATTATAAGAAAATACAGAAATGTTAACTTAGTTTCATAGGTTTTGAACATCTCTGGTAAAATGAAACATTTAGATGAAAAGTTATTTCAGATTTTAATTTCATGGAAATACATGGTTTGTCAATAAATGTAAGCACTTCAATAATTTAAAGAAAATTTTTTTCTGTCGGAAGAAGTTTACATTATAAGGGATAAGCTAATGTGACTTAAACTTATGTAATCATAATTTACACCATGATACTTTTTAAAAATTGCTTTTTAACTGTTTTGATATTTGAAGTCAGGTATGTTTATTTTAAAGAGTAAGGGCCCCATTCTTAATTATAATTAGAAGGGAATGTTCCTTTTTGAAGACTGGAATTAGTGGTCAAGATGATAATAAAGTGTTAATGTGTTGATAACATTTGGCACCAAGTAATCCTTTTTCAGGTTATAAGTTAATGGAATGGAAAGGGTGAGGTGGGAATAATTGATATCCACATTATAACTTATGAAGTATTCTTACTTTCAATATTAATTTTGTAATATAAATTCTCAACATAATCAAGTACACTGCAGCCTTGTCATATTTTTACACTAGCTGAAATTTGATAATATGTGGGTCTGTTTTTGGACCTTTTCAAAGGGCTTTTAGTTATCTGTGATACTGAAAAGACTTCAGCACCACACAGTGTTCTTACCTGTGATGTGTGTCTCAGAATGGACTCAACCAATAGCAGCTTTAAGTGGAGGCTACAGTGTACTCATTGTATTTGTGATATAACTTGTATTACTTTGGGAGGGGGACAATTACTGAACAACAGCAGGAACATTGTGTGTGTGTTAAATTTTGTGTGTGTGATTGTATATGTAGTATGTGTGTTTGTATGTTTGTTGTGTAAGAGAGATTGTACCTTATGTGGAGTCTGGTTGTGGTTTTGGCCCAGAATCTTATCCTTAAGTTTTATCCTATGGGACCATTTCTTTTGTTAATATATTTAATCATCAGAATAGACTGGCATGAAATTCAGCAGGTGAGTGAATAGGTCTGTCTGAAGTATGCTGAAGCCAGTGCTGCTTTGTAATACTTACTAAAGCAAGGAACCTGAAGCACATGTACTTGCTCTGCATTCCAGTTTGACTTTACAAACACAGTTTATATGCAGACTCATCAGAAATGAACATCATTGGAATATAATAGTTTTTCTATAATGAAGTAGTATGTTCTGAGTTTTAGAAATTTCAGTTTCTCAAATATTTAGTCATTATTCATGTGCTTTATTATAACGTAAGTTAAACTGAAGTTGGCAGTTAGATTCCATTCTATAAGTTTAAACACAATAAGTCTGTTTCTCCAATTTCCTAACTAAAAATATGAAGTGCATTCTAAAAGAGAATTTCAAGACAGACCAGATGTTATTCCAAGGGGCTGAAAGTTTAAATATCAGACTCATTTCATATATTTCAGAGCTGCTAGCAGTTGACTAATTTACTTAGTTGGTAATGTTTGCAGTTATTTTGCACACATACACACAAATATAAATATACGTATAAAACATCTTTTGAGAAAAAGTGGTAAAGAATATATTGTATATTTTGTAAAATATATATTTCCGGTTTAAGAGTTAAGATGTTAAACTGAATCTTAATTTCGGAAATCCATATCCTGAGCTGTGTTTTTCTCTTTTTTGATTTGCTCTTTATTTTTTAAATTTTTAAATCTTTTACTTTGTTTAGCCTGCGAGAGGCTAAATTTTTATTTGCCCGTATTTCCCAATGTGACCCTTAATGTTTCTGGTGAAGACACATAACCTGTTCATAATATATTAAAATCTAAAGTAATAAGAATGTCTTTACATCAAAGGTAGTACTAACAATGTTTACATAACGTCCTATTTGCATTCTCAAGAAAATAAAATTTGGTAATACATTTGTTGTAACTCAGTACTTCATGGTGGGGAAATTGTAATGTTTCATTTATTTATGTTCAGCTAAACCAACTCGTATGAATCCAAATACATTTAGTTTTTCTCTAATAGAAAATACATAATATCTTTCATAACAAGAGATTTGATTTCCCAGAGAAGTTTCTTATAAATCCTACTTAAGATCAAAGTGGGGGCGGGGAGCATATATTTGCTTTTAAATTTGAAATACCAATTGCAAATAAATAATTCTCAGTAAAGTAGTTAATGACACTAATCTAATATTTTTTAATATTTGCCAATATATCAGCTTTTCTTATATCAGTGAGCATTTAGCAAATACCTGACTTCTTGTGTAAAAGTTGAACTTTATAATGTCATCCTTAATTCATTACCTACTTTTATTTTTTTACTAAAGCATAGAAAGTGTTGGAGATAAATTTTTTTTGTTCTAATGGAAGGGCATTTAGGACCAACATCTTTGTATCTATGATGTTACATAATTTCAAAATTAAGCCAAATTACTTTAGTGTTGTACCTATTATACAGTCATGCGCCACATAACGACAATTGGGTCAATGACGGACTGCATATACAATGGTGGTATACCGTAGGTCTGTAGTAGGCTATACCATCTAGGTTTGTGTAGGTGCACTCTATGATGTTCACACAGTGACAAAATCGCCTAACAATGCATTCATTTCTCAGAAAATATGCCTGTCGTTAAGCAGCTCGTGACCATATAGGCAATCACATTTTGCCTCAGGTATGTGAAAGATAATGTTTTACTCTTGAATTCCAGAACTGCTACTTTACATGATTTAACGTCATAAGAAAAACCAATTGTATGACTATTCTTAAAGTGCTATAAATATCAAATATAGTCTAATTGTAATTGTTACATGAAAATACTTTTGCTGCTGGTTAGTTTTATTTTTAATATATTTTTATTGATTTTAGAGAGAGGAAGAGAGAAGGAAAGAGAAACATCAGTGATGAGAATCATTGATCAGCTGCCTCTTACTGGGGATCAAGCCATACAACCCGGGCATGTGCCCTGACTGGGAATCAAACTGACCTCCTGGTTCATGGCCAACACTTAACCATTGAGTCACACCAGTCAGGTCACTGGGTAGTTTTAAAGTAAACATTTTAATACATTTACAGCCATTTAATTGATTCCTTAAATCTGCAGTGTCGGTGGGGTTTTTTGTTTGTTTTTTCCTGTTCCACTTATTTATGCATTCATTGGCTGATTCTTTTTTGTTGTTGTTCTTAATCCTTACGGGAGGATTTTTTTGTTGTTGATTTTTAGAGAGAGTGGAAGGGAGAGAGGGGACACACACACACCCACACACACACACCCACCACTGCCTTCCACATGCTCCCTGATCGGGGCCAGGGATCAAACCTGCAACCCAGGTATGTGCCCTTGACCAGAAATCAAACTCAGGACCCTTTGGCCAGGGCTCATTGGTTGATTCTTATATGTGTCCTGACTAAGGATCAAACCTTCAACCTTGGCATATCAGGGTGACGCTCTAATCAACTGAGCTATGTGGCCAGGACTAGTGTAGTATATTTTTGAGTTTAAGAAATGTGAGTTTTAAAAAACTAGAGTTAATGGAGTGTCCCTGAGAACCTGAATACTCTTTAAAGAACCACTTTTTAGAGTGGTCAGAAGGGTCACTAAGTATCACAAAATTGAGACAATTTATAGTTTTGCCATTATGTTTTTTAAGTTTTTCTCTCCCTTGTGACTACAGCTTTTCATGTAGCTAGGTAGTCAGTGTGACAGCATGTATGTACATCTTATTGTTAGAAGTAATTTGTTTTGCATTGGGCCACATTCATAAGCAATTGTCCTATGAAAGGATGATGTTTTTTTTATTGGTAGATAAAGGAGAAATGAAAGTAATGCTGCTGGTAATAGCAACAATGTATCTTGCTGTCTGTGAAAGCTGTAATTCTTGAATAAAAGCAATATAGAATTGATTGCATTTTCTTTTAAAGAATTTAAAAGCATTAATACTTAAATAATGGGTTGTAAAGTATATATTTTTAATTTTTTCATAATAATCTTGCTACTTGGGAAAAATCATTTACAAATACCTTTCTTCATGGCAAATGGAAGTGAACTCAGGATGGAACATGAGTGACCTAAATTGAAATAAACTTCTCTACTGTCTTTACTGTTTTAATGCCTCTGAATAGCAGTTTAAACTGTATTATGTTTTGTACATATTGAGCAATGTTATTTTTTTAAATGCAGATAAAATTATGGCCTTATTTATGTAGATTATAATTTTTCTATTCAGCTTGCAATCTTTAAAAAAATTGTACTCTTTTTCCTATAAATCTCTTCCTGTTTGTAATAAATGTTGGTCCATGTCTGTGTGATTATTCAGATTTTACTCTAAAACATAATATGCTCTGTAGTTTCCTAAATACATGTATAATGTAGTGTGGGGGTGTAAAAGAAAACAGGAATTATTTGCAAACACAGACCTGAGTGGTTAAATATCTGAAAGTGCTTTGAATAATAACATAACTATTTTAAAAACATAGGAAATATTTTCATGTTTACTGTAGGCAGTAAACAACTTTTTTGGTTTTATTATAATGTCTCATCCCATATTCCTTTATATTGTAGCATAGATGTTTAGGTGTTGTCACTTCTAACATGGTCTATACATTTTTTTTACTTGAGAGCCTTTTCACCCAAGGCATTGT